ATGGGAGAGTGGTTGGTGTCATGCCAAAGCCACGACATCACTTCTGCCATGACGTGGAAAGTACCATCATCACATCATCACATCAGCTCTAGCTTTTCCTGGATGTTTGGGAGAATGCCAGAGCTATGCTGGCAATGTGATAATGTCACTTCTGTGTCACACCAGAACTGACACCACTGCATTGCTGCTAACATCTCAATGTTGCCAGCAAGCCATAAGGGCTCTTCTGCATTGTCATTTTTGTCACTCATTTTTCCCTATTGCTTTGGGTCGTCCCTCCTTTTCCAGTTGTGTTTTGCTCCCTCTAGGACTACTAGAGAGAGCAAAACACATTGGGGGGGAGACCCTGAAGAAATAGGGACAAACAAGTGACAAATATGACAATGCAGAAGAGTCTTAAGTCGCCTGCCAGTTCTAGGGAGGGTGATTTTAGCATGCAACTGTTGTTCTGACTTTTCTTCTTTGTCGCTCATTGGCATGACTTTATCAGTGTTGTTGTTTCAGTTTATGCAGTTTTCAAGGGAATAGCCTTTTTCATTATAATAAGCTGGTTTGGAGGCCTTGGGAGAGGCCAGATGGCAGGATGTAAATAAATAGATGCGGTTTTTGAAGCAATGTTTCTCACATTATCTGGAGCAAAGTGTTCTCAAGAAAATGCTTGTTTCAGCTTCTGTGCTTCTCATGTCCCTAGTCTGTTCAAAAACTTAAGTGCAGAATTTTTCATCCTGAACTACCAAATAAGTGCATTTTGAACATGCTGATTTGATGGACAAAAGTAGGGATTTCTGCATTTTTGAGAAACTCAGCACCTACAAAACATCTGGCATGAAAAATATCACAATGAAATGTGTTTGGCCAAATGAACATTAGTAGGTTGTGACTGGATCTACTTTTGCACAAGAGATGTGAAAAATCTAGTAGTTTCCCATAAATGTATTTCTGCTAATTTTGGTACATGTTGTTTACAGTTTTTAAATGAGATTCAGAGCTTCATAATGAGGTACCTGTGGTACATAGAATACTTCTGATTCTGTGGCAACAAGAAAGACTATGTTTTTATGGTAAATGTGACTTTGAACAGCTTTTTAGAGGGGTGTGACCATGCCCCAGTGACAGTATCTTTCAAAAGTTTCGATTCTAGATACATTTCAAAATGTGTAGTGGCTCCACAAAATCTCAGCAAAATGCACTATTATGATGCAAACCCCAAATGCCACACTTTATTGATTTGACATGGAATATCTGTATAGCAGGATGGCAAAACCTGGGCCTTAGTCTGGTTATATGTTTATTCAGTGTCTTTTGTGTTGCCGACAAGGTATTAATTTCTGTTTCCATGTCTTTTTTGTTTTTCAGTTCTTTGTCGCAGCTCCATATTTCACTTCTGATACCATTTCATATTACAAAATTTTCAGTGACAAGAATGGTTATAAACATATCCATTATGTCAAAGATTCTGTGGTATGTCGAGCAAAGAATGAATATAACATTCGTATGTCTGTACTGCAGCACATCTGCCAAAAATACAACATCTCACTTATCACCTTTAAATCTGTTGATTTTATAGGAAAATGCAGTACCAATCACTAGCGGACCATGGGAAGCCATATACATCTACAGAGTAACTGATGATGCAATGTAAGTATGTGAAAAAGCATGGTGTGTTGTTTATGTAATTTGTCAATACAATTTACATTCAGTGTACCAGCGATTTTTCTGTTATAGCAGAGCCCCATTTTCATAGGTCAGCGGGGAAAGGGTCTTTCTAGATGACAAGAGAACTTGGATTTCCTTTAACAACAAATGACCTGGAAAAGCCTTGATGTTAAACGACAACATAGCTATTCAGACACACAGGCTGCAGTCACACACACTAAATAATCCACTTTCAATCCACTTTCAATTCACTTTCCAACTGGATTTTGCCAGTTCACACAGTAAACTCCAGTTGGAAAGTGCATTGACAGTGGATTGAAAGTGGATTATTTAGCAGTGTTCCCTCTAAGCTGAGTTAGTGTGAGCTAGCACACAGTTTTTTAGCCGCCAGCTCACACCTTTTTGTCTCCGCTCAGGAAGGATGGCTCCAGAGCAAACTAATTTATGCAGTAGCCAAATTGCTCACTCAAAACTTTAATGCCGGTAGCTCACAAAGTAGAATTTTTGCTCACAAGAATCCACAGTTTAGAGGGAGCATTGTTATTTAGTGTGTGTGATCTCAGCCTGACAATCTATACATTGCCTTAATTTTCTCTTACATGTTTTCGTATGCCATGTTGGATCCCTGATGGGCTCATCAGATGTTTAATTTACAGTGCTATGACTAAAATGAGGCTATCGTACACCGCTCACATCATGAGAGGACAAAACTCCCTAGAAAAGACAATCACTGTAGGAAAAATGGAAGGCGGCAGGAAAAGAGGAAGACCCAGCATGAGATGGTTTGACTCAATCAAGGAAGCCATGGCCCTGAGTCTGCAAGACCTGAGCAAGGCTGTTAATGATAGCGCATTTTGGAAGATATTAATTCATAGGGTCTTGATGGAATTTAACACACACATATTAAGGATCGTTTCACCCTTGATTTAAATGGATGTAATTAATTTCAAAAGGTATAATTCTGTTTAGGATTGCACTGGCAATCACAAAAGGCAGCCATTAAGAAGGGGGTAGTTTGAATCAAGACTGCAGCACTGGGGATGTTAGAGGAGGTTAATCCCGTTTCTCGTTTTCCCTACTAAACATACCAGTCCTTTACTGCTTTTAGCCCCATATGGGGCAAAGAAAACCATACTTGGCACTTCTACCTACTGCTGTTTAACAGCAATTGAGAGGAGTGGATTATCGATCATAGTGGAGGAGGGAAACATTAAAATCCTCCTTCCATCTATTACTTCTCCTTCATCTACTTTTGGAACTAGATTAAAATCTAAAAATAATCTCTAACATCACATGCAGTGTGGCCCCACCATGAGATGGTTTGACTCAATCAAGGAAGCCATGGCCCTGAGTCTGCAAGACCTGAGCAAGGCTGTTAATGATAGCGCATTTTGGAAGATATTAATTCATAGGGTCTTGATGGAATTTAACACACACATATTAAGGATCGTTTCACCCTTGATTTAAATGGATGTAATTAATTTCAAAAGGTATAATTCTGTTTAGGATTGCACTGGCAATCACAAAAGGCAGCCATTAAGAAGGGGGTAGTTTGAATCAAGACTGCAGCACTGGGGATGTTAGAGGAGGTTAATCCCGTTTCTCGTTTTCCCTACTAAACATACCAGTCCTTTACTGCTTTTAGCCCCATATGGGGCAAAGAAAACCATACTTGGCACTTCTACCTACTGCTGTTTAACAGCAATTGAGAGGAGTGGATTATCGATCATAGTGGAGGAGGGAAGCATTAAAATCCTCCTTCCATCTATCACTTCTCCTTCATCTTCTTTTTGCATCTAGATTAAAATCTAAAAATAATCTCTAACATCACATGCAGTGTGGCCCCAAGTTCTTCAATCCATGCTAGGGTTGCCAAACCCCCCCGGTTTGCCAGGGGTCTCCCATTTGGGGGGGGTTTCTACCCGCCGCCGGTCAGACGAGGGAAGCCCCACCCCCAACACCCACAGCCACCCATCTCTCTCTCTTTAAGTGTGTGGAACCCATGTTTCCTCCCAAGCCTGATCTCTGCAAGCTTGCAGGGAAATGCCAGCTTCATGCTCTTAAAAGGGAAACGCCGGCTCCTTTAAGTGCAGGGAACTGCCGTTTCTGGAGATCTGGTGCACGGGCGGGGGGGGCGGCGGATGGCCCCAACGTGACATCATCATGTCGGGGATGCCCCGCCCCCTCCAGGAACGCCCCCAAAGTCCCCCGCTGGGGGTGGAAGATGGACTTGGCAACCCTAATCCTTGCTACCTGTATGCAAAATGCTTAACACCTTGTGTATTCTTTGTGCTGTCAAACCATAGTTTATATGACATAATAAATTGTGTTCCAGATTCTTTTCAAGCAATGAATTTGAAGGCTATCCAGGGAGAAGGAATATTTATAAGTAAGTTCCTGTCAAGCTTTAAGTAATGTTGTTTGAGGTATTTTCCACCTGAGATGATGCCTGATAATTATGAAGCATATGTAGATCATTAGTAATTGTGGAAAGGTTACTCTTAACATGGGCTACTGTCAAAGTTCTCTGTGACCTTGCAGCTTATTACCTCTTCATCCATGTTAGGATTGCTTTGTATTTTAAGATAATGGGAATATTGGTTGTCGTTGTTTTAGTACTATCCCTTAAATTTTGCTTTTGTTCTGGTTATCTGTGTTATGCCAATAAAGGTTTCTGTTCTCTCACATTACCTCTTCATTCATATATCTGGATACACTATTGCCTGTGACCTTTGCCCCTTCAGCTCCACCCCTTAGCTGCCCAAAAGTCTCCTGGTCCCTTAAACAACCCTGCTTTTGTTCATTGCTGCCCTTTAACCCTTCCATTCAAAATTCCCTTTCCAGTAGTTACCATCCCATTTCCCATACATAAATTGACTACTGCCATTTGAAACTGCTCCATACCCAACTCATGAGAGTTTAGAAAAAGAAGAAAGGGGGAAATCGAGCTTTCTTTATCCACTGATTTAAAAATACAAAACAGAATCAAAACAGACCAGTCCAGAGCTGAGTGGACGCCATGATGAGCTTACCAAGCACTTTGCTATCACATTCGCCTGCATATATGAAACTACCTTATACTAGCTCAGTATTTTTCTTAATATGTTGTTAATTCTTGTTTAATAGACAAAATGCACATATCTAAATATATAAATAAGTGTAGAAAAGTCAGTGCTGATTAAAGTTTTATAAGAGTTGTATTGGAGTTCCAGTGGATGCCGGGAAATTCTAGATTGGGACCAAAACAATCAATAGTTTCATCTGCTTCTTTAATTCTTTTATAGAATTAATCTTCAAACAAATCCTCCAACCAAGCAGTGTATTACTTGTAATTTAAGAAAAGAAAGATGCCAGTATTATGCAGCAAGATTCAGTTACAATGCCAACTATTATGCTTTACTCTGCTATGGTAAGTCAAATATATGGCCAAACGGAGTCACAGATGCCCTTTCAAATATACATTATTTATGATGGTTTGTATCCAACCAACTGAGAGCGTTGTGAAGCTTGTGGACCAGGATTTTTCTACTGCCTTCCATAGCAGCTTATTGAAGTATCTGAAATGCTAGTTCTGGGGGTAAAGAGACCTCACAAAAAAGATGTGGGGGGGAGTGGGGGGTCTGAGGAAGGAGGAAATCAGTGAAATCACCCCTTTCTTCATCAATGGAAAAGAACTTCTGTTGACAGAAAATGATATTAGGATACAAACCAGTGTTTCTGTTTTCAGAGTACCTTAATCATGAATTAATCATTCATTCACTCAAGGAAGTCATAGCAAAGAGATTGGTTGCTTAGTTAGAATCTAAGGCAGTGCTTAAAATGGGGACATTTATAATCTCAGATTACACATTTGAAATATCAGTAACGGTGTCCACTTGACTGTTCGAGTATTCAAAAGGAAGTTATTGGATTGTTGCCTGTTGTACTGGGTCAAAAATTCTATACAATTGACTTGGAAAATGCTGACTCATAAACCCTGACTAGGGTTACCAGCTCTGGGTTGGGAAATACCTGGAGATTTTGGAGGTAGAGCCTGAGGAGCAGGGCTATTTTTGGGCAGGAACGCACAGGAACGGAATTCCGGCTGGCTCCCGAGTTGGCCACGCCCAGCAGGAACTCATTAGCATAATAGGCCACACCCAACAGCAGAAACCCATTAGGATTGACTACAATAGGGGTGTGTGGCCTAACATGCAAAGGAGTTCCTGCTACAAAAAAGTCCTGGGTTTTGACAACAAACAAGGTAAACAGAGTAACAAGCAAAAGGTGGGTGTGTCTGGATAACCACACTTCTGGTAACATGGGGGTGTGGCCTGATGTGCTAATGAGCTGTGCTGTCAGGGGTGTGGCCCAATGGGCTAATGAGTTCCTGCTGTTGGGTGTGGCCTGTTATGCTAATGAGCTTCTGCTGGGCTTTTTCTACAAAAAGAGCCCTGCTGAGGAGGGTGTGTTTTGGGGAAGGGAGGGACCTCAGCAGAGTGCAGTGCCGCAGAGCATACCCTCCAGAGCCGCTATTTTCTTCAGGGGAACTGATCTCTCTCGTCTGGAGACCAGTTGTAATAGCTGGAGATCCTCAGGCTCCACCTGGAGGCTGGCAACCCTAGCTCTGACACAGAGACCCACAGGAGCAACACTATAGTCTGCCGCTGCGCACAGGGTATATAGAACCTAGAGCACAAGCTTGGGTACAGAATCCAGGCAGGATCCTGTGTGTATAAAGGGACTGTTGAATGTGGGCTTCCCACAAGTTTTGTGCCTCTGGCATAACTTCTTACTTTGTCAAATCCTGTTTCTCCGTGTAGTCTCAATGGATTTGGATGGCAGACAATTTATAACAACCACAGCAGTAGAAACATTTCTCTAGAGTCGATCTGTCAACTACTCCAAAGGTGTTTTTTTTAAAAAAAATTGCAGAAAATTTAGAACAGAACTCTGAAAGGTTATAATGAGAAGTTAAGTTATAATTCATTATGCCATTGATTAAAATGTATTAAAATTCTATGCAAGACGAAGCATAAATTACTAATACAAAACAAGGCAAATGGTCATCAGTTATCTTAATGGGTAGCTCTTGGAGAGTGTTATGTTGATCCCTAAATATATAACATTTCGTAGATTTAGCAAACCAGGAAGCACCATACAGGTTTCTGTGCCATATGAGATGAGCTCAAAAGAAGGAACAGATTGGGTTTTATATTAACAATCTATTTTACAAGTTTTCCATTTATGAGTTCCCATTAGAGAAAGAAACCTAACAAATTACTTCACAGATAGTCCCTGTAGATATATATATCTAAAAGTTTCACGACTTCAGCCCTAAAGCCCTGCTTCGGGTGTCCCTACCTTTTGAAATTAGGAAGGTGACCACCCCAGAGAGGGACTTCTCTGTCATGGCACCAAAACCCTGGAACTCTCTCCTAGGAGAGACTTGTCTGTCCTAGTCTGTTGCTGTCTTCCACCAGCAGGTGAAGGTTTTTTTCTTTTACCCATCATTCCTTCAATGATCCCTCCTTCCTGCACTGTTTTTTAAATTGTTGTTTTTAATGGTTTTGTATGTGTATTTTAGCTTGGTTTGAATTCTTTTAATGGAGTGTTTTTGTTTGGTTTTCGTGGATCTTAAGACATGTTTTAATTATGTATGTCTTTAATTTGTTAACTGCTTTGGTGGATGTGGTGAGGGCAGAAAGACAGGGTATATATTTCATAAATTGGAAAAAAATACCCTCCACGCAAAAACGTCTTTGATACAAAAACAAATGTACACATTAGGCATAAATGTTTACAGATTTATGGACTGGACGGAGACAAAACAAAGTGTAATAAAAGGCAGAGATATTGCTATTATTGTAGCGATCTGCATTTGAATGGGAATGTGCCAGTGAGAAATTCTACCTACTGGTTACTTCCTGTCGTTAATAATGCTGGATGATCTGTGCTGGATGTTCAAGCGTGCAAATAAATAAGAGTTCTCAGCTAAGCAAAGAAGCAAATGTAACAGAATGACAACACCTTTCAATCATCCTTGCCCAAGATGTTATCGTATAGGAAATGCACCTACCTTGAGAAATGCATTACGACAACTTCTCCAGATCCTGTTGCACATGGTTAATTCTGGGATTAGGTTATATAACTGTTAAGTGGGGATCACTTCATCTGTGAGAGTGAAACGTTGTCTTTAAGGTTACATTTCTGACTTAATCTATGGACGGTAGGCTATGGAGTACACAGTCTATAAGTCTGTAAAGCCTTCTGTATTGTACACAGCTATTCCCTACCTTAAACCGTGGTTTAGAGTTGCAGTTTGTGAAGAGGAAACAAACTCCAGTTTGCCCATGCATGGCACATGCATACAGACATCTGGACAAACTCGAATTTGGCTAGAGGGTTCTTGCATTTGTTCTGTTCATGAACGTGCAGAGGTTCACTGTGACATCTGAATGTGACTGTAGTTATATTGGAGTATTTGCAAGTTCACCTCCTGATGTCATGAAAGCGTTAACCTGTTTGTTTATGTATGCTACTTTGTAGTTAGTACAGAATCTATGAGATGTCGAGTAGAAGTTTCCGCCCTAGAAGGAGATGTCCCATTCATAATGAAGTGACCTTTAGCCTGGTCATTGGTCAATTCATAGTTGGGTGATATTACCAGATATTCTGCATGTAGGCATTTTGGGGGTTCTTCCTACTTCTTTTATTCTAAGATCAGATGCTAGAATCCATCTTGGAGTAAACAGTAACTAGAAAGATGTAGCTGGAGGGACTGTTTTTTTGTTTTATCCCATAATGTAACCCTCCCTAATTAGGTAGTAAACTTTCTTTAGAGCCAGTTTGGTATAGTGGTCAAGAGCGCAGACTCTAATCTGGGAGAACCGGGTTTGTTTCCCCACTCCTCCACATGTAGCTGCTGCTGTGACCTTGGGTCAATTACAAATTATTTCTGAGCTCTTCTCTCATGAGCATTTCTCGAAAGAGCTCTCTCAGTCCCACCTACCCCACAGGATGTCTGTTGTGGGGAGGGGAAGGGAAAGGGATTGTAAATTGCTCTGAAACTCCTTCGGGTAGTGAAGGATGGGGTATAAATCCAATCTCTTCTTTTAGCTAATTTACACGTATGTGCTGTGTCATTACTTTTAACACTGCTAAATTTATCCAACAAGTTAAGATCCTCCCTATTTCTGCTATAAGCATAAAACTGTGTTAAGGACATAAGAACATAAGAAGAGCCCTGCTAACCATTGGCCCATCTAATCCAGCATCCTGTCTCACACAGTGACTAACCAGTTCCTATATGTGCCTAACAATTCGATCTTTGATTACAGTTACTAATTTTCCTGAGATAGATCTTAGGCTGACTGGCCTGTAATTTCCTGGTTCCCCTATGGATCCCTTTTTAAAAATTGGTGTCACATTTGCTACTCTCCAGTTTTCTGGTACAGCAGATGAATTTAGTGATAGGTTACATATATGGGCTAGTAGATCAATGATCTCACATCTGAGTTCCTTAAAAACTCTTAGGCGTATGCCATCAGGACCTGGAGACATTGGTATTTAATTTCCCCAGTAAGTCTAGAATGTCATCTCTGGTCACCTCAATTTGGCTCAGTTCTTCAGACTCCTTTCCTGAAAATAGGGGCTGTGGCATGGGTGTGTGCCCCACACTTTCCATAGTGAACACAGAAGCAAAAAACTGTTATGCTACTAAAGTGGCCATGTTAGCTATTACATCAGTTTAAGGGACCTCTGTGTGTTACAATTGAGGCTGCAGACCGGAAGAGCTGTAGTTCAGCAGTTTGAGACCCTAGTGGCACATCTCTGGCCCCAGCACCTGCCAGCCTAGCAGCTCGAAAGCAAGAAATTGCAAGTAGATAAATAGGTACCACTTTGGTGGGAGGGTAACAGCATTCCCTGTGCCTTAGCATTTAGTCATGCCAGCCACATGACCATGGAAACGTCTTTGGACAGCCCTGGCTCATCAGCTTGGAAACGGAGATGAGCATCGCCCCCTTGAGTCAGATTCGACTAGCTTTCGAGCAAGAGAAACCTTTACATTTACTTATCTGTTACAAAGTGCTTGTATTTGTTGGTGGACAACATGAGGACTTTGCATCAAACATTCAGTGGGAGTTCTGTGCCTCCCAGTTTCACACATGCCCTTTCTTCCTTTCAGCTGTAGCCTACCTCCCTGCCATGCTGTTTCAGCCAGCTCAAAACACCTCATGGAGTTGCTATTGGCTCCCTTGCAAAACGTATGTGCAAAAAGGACACAGAACTTCCACTGAATGTTTGACGCAAAGTTCTTGTGCTTCATCACTCTTGTTTCCCCAGGAATTTAAAAGACTGTAATTTGTTGAGGCGCTGAGAATTTTCCATTTCTAGTTGGCTCCCTTGCAAAACGTATGTGCAAAAGGGACACAGAACTTCCACTGAATGTTTGACACAAAGTCCTTGTGCTTCATCACCCTTGTTTCACCAAGAATTTGTTGAGGCGCTGAGAATTTTCTGTTTCTAGTATTCTCTCAATTCTTAGGTTTCCTGAGAAGGACCATTCATTCAGTTTAAGTCTGTAATGTGGATACTTGCCCCATAGAGTTCAAGCCAAAATGTTTACAGCTGGCACAGAAAAGAAAGGAGACATCATAAAACAGTTGCAGAGGAGAAAAAATGAAGTTCTTGGCAACTGCCTGTATTGGAAGTAGATCTTGAATATGTCCAAAGCTGATGTTAACAGAGACTGAGAAAATAGACTAGACAAAAGCAATGAGTCTATACAATAATTTCTAGGGTTGCATACTCCATGGTGTAGTCATCCCTAGATAAAAAATACACAGACAAGAAGACGAAGAGTTGGTTTTATACCCCGCTCTTCACTACTCGAAGGATCACCTTCCCTACAATCACCTTCCCTTCCACTCCCCACAATAGACACCCTGTGAGGTAGGTGGGGCTGAGAGAGCTCTGAGAGAGCTGTGACTGACCCAAGGTCACCCAGCCGGCTTCTTGTGGAGGAGAGGGGAATCATACCCGGTTCTCCAGATTAGAGTCCACCACTTTTAACCACCACACCACTCTGGATCTCAGCCAGCTCAAAACAAGGATCTAAGCATCTCTGGCCCTATTTAATTTTGGGCCTTTCCCCATTCCTTTTGCCTTCCACCATTAAGGAGGGGCTGTTAACAATTAGCATGATGCCAAACGACTAGGCTAAACTTTATAGGACAGATGCAGGGCTTTTGGAACCTGGGAGAGAGAAATACATTTTGTCAAATGTGCTGACATGTATGGTGGTGTCCTAAGATGCCACCCTCCTAAGCATATTCTACGGACCGAAACTTAGGCAGGTGAGAACAATTTGCCTGATAAAAGAAGAATACGTGTACTAAATGACAAAGCACAAGTCGTTTTCAGTAACAGTTGTATTTCTCGCAGTTATGCTTTAAATGTAAATTTCTCTTCTTTTTATCAAATAATTTTAATTTTATTTATAACAATTAACATACAACAGAACATGCAACCATTACAATAACAAAACTAGGCACTCTTAGATATGTAAGTACTCACTTTAAACATCTCTCTGGTTACTCCTTATTAATAATAAATTTCTCTTCTTGAATCACTATTTCAGGTCCTGGAACCCCCATTTCTACTCTTTATGACAGCAGATATGATAGAGGTATCTTCTACTGTGTACGTTTGTGTGTCCTGTTGATAGTCTGAGGTTGAAATACAATACATCTTGGTATGGAGTGCGTCCCAATCAACTGTAGGACTTAAGTAAACCTACATAAAATGGGGCTGTAAATCTTCTAAAATAAAAACATCTGAAGATTTCAGTCATAAATGGTTCTGCTTGTGTTTGTGGTTTAAATTTCATTTTATTTCCATTCCAATATACATTTATTTAAACGTTTTTTAACATATTTTTTCAAAGTTTCAAAATAAATCCCTATATTGCACACTCCTTTTTCTATTGTTAGCTGTTTTTCAATAGCTTTACAGTAACCAGCATTCTAATACACAATTGCTATATTGAATTGCTTACATGTAGCCAGTTTTACAAATACTCCAAATATTCTATTAGTAGCTACCAATCCAGAATGCTTCTTTTGTCCTCCATATTTACAATGCAGTCCTATGTGGCATTAGTCCAATTTTAGTCTGTTGAAGTCAATGGACAAACTGGTTTCACTGTGGACAGGACTGTACTATCAGCTATACCCCCAGAAAATAAACCACATATTTCCCAACAGATTGTTGTAAAATATCAGCTATTTCCTATTCTTTTTTCTTTAAGCTGGAAATGTTTGAAACACAGGTTTTATTCCCGTTTGGTGTTTCATTACTCATAGAAACTCATTACTCATAGAGCCAGGAAGTGGTTTGCCATCATGCAGCTGTATCAGAGAAACCCAAAATAGTTTAACTGTAATCAGCTGTATCAGAGAAACCCAAAATAGTTTAAGTGTCACTGTAATCTAGCTGTAAAGATTTTAATATATACCTTGTTATTCATATGCCTGCACATTTGTAACAGAAGGTGGTTAAATAGTATATAGATTCTTTTAAAGTGATCTACAGGACATGCCAAGTTATACTTTCTAAGCTTATTTGTCTTCAGGGAATTTAGAATGTTTACTCTCACTGTCCTCCTTAAATTGATTATTCTATGGTGTCTCTACCTTTCCAATTGTTAATCAGTTGCTAATCCCTTTAAAGACCAGCCCAATCTCATCAGAGTCCGATCTCGAAAGCTAAGCAGGGTCAGCTCTGTCTAGTATTTGGATGGGAGGCCTCCAAGAAAGATCAAGGTCATGATGGGGAGGCAGGCAGTGGCAAACCACCTTGGCATGTCTCTTGCCTTGAAAGGGGGGGGGGGTCACCATAAGTCAGCTGTGACTTGACAGAAACAACAACAAACTTAGTGGAATGTCAAGTCAAGAGTTTTCTGCATCCCAGTTCCTCCACACACCTTTTGGGCTATTTAAGCCCTGGTAGATCCTATTGCAGGGGACAGCAACGTTTTATTTTCATTGCAGGAGGCAGCAGCCTTTCCTAATTAAAGAGCCAGACTGCATCAAAATCCAGAGCAAGAGATTGACAAAGACCCAGAGCAAGAGAAAGACAAAGACACATAACCGAAAATATCCACCTTAACATTACTGATAATTGACAGGTTGCTTGATAATGCATAATGTTTCCACAGCCCAAACATGGGTTGCTATGAGCCCTTTATTAGGAAGTAGCCTGACAAGGTCTCAGAATAAGTATTAAATACACACAGGCACACCCAGTGCAACTGTTACAGTGCTGTCATAAATCTGTACATGGTTCATGCTTGGATTACTGGCAACTGTTCACCTCTATCATTTCCCTTTCTGAAAAGTATCTCTAAAAAGCCCTTTGGTCTCATAAAAATATTTGCCTAACATTCTTTTCGCACACTGACTATTCTAGCATCCCACCCATCCCTCCAATAGACGAAGATTTCATTTTATCTTCTTAAAGAGCCATATTTGGTTCAGTATTGTGCCACATTTGGACTCCTCTGCTATTGTAGATCCAAACAAATTTTAACCCTGGAACATGTTTTCTGTTCTTCTCTCTGGAAGAGAACTCTGTCCTGTTTGTTCAACGCCCACACAGCTGTTTGCTATTATAAATGTGGTCTCAATATTACAGATGGGGCTTCAATAGATTTAAGTTTCATTTTATATTCATGTTTACTTCCACACAGAAATATATAGATATAGATAGGAATAGGCACGAACTGGGAAAATGCAGTTCGGTTCATGGTTCATGGCTCAACCACGAACCGAACCCAGAAACCAGGAGGCTTGTTTACTAATCAAACCAGTTTGTGTGATTCATAGCCATGCAAACTGCATTGAAAGGGACTGCAGAACCTTTAAAAGGGGTTTGCAGAAAACCTGAAAAACAGCTGAGCAGCGAGGAGCAGCTTGCTCCCTGCCACTCAGCTGTTCCAGCCTGTCTTGTGTAATCCCTTAAAAGCTTAAGGGGACAGCAAAACAGTGCAAAAAATAACTGCACAACAGAGAGGCGCTCCCCACCACGCAGTTGTTTCAGGCTGTCTTCTGCCATCCCTCTAAACTTTAAAAGGACTACAGAAGACAGCCCAAAAAACAGCAGCCAGCAGGAAGGGGGGGGAGATCCCCTGGGAATGACTTCCCTCCCACCTTTCTGCTGCCCATGGCAAGCAACTGCCAGCAGAAAGGTGGGGGGTGAAGTGCCCCTGGAATGCACTTCACCCCTTCCATTTAAACTCTCCTTTCTGCTCCCCGCAGCTTTTTGCAGGAGGAAGAAAGCAGGACTATGAAAAGCCACAGGGAGCTAAAAATCCCCGTGGTAAGCCACAGGGACCAAAAATAAGGGTTTAAATGGCTGGGAGCCATTTACACCCTGCTTTCTGCTCCTGTGAAAAGCTGCAGGGAGCTGAAAGCAGAGAATAAGTGTCTCTGAGCTATTTAAACCAAACAGCTGAGAACTGGGAGTTCCTAGCCACTCAAATGTTTCTCGTGAAGGGCATGCTCTTCACAAACCATCACAAGCCACCATTAATTGCACAAAAAGTCGTGGTAGTTCATCCCAGTTCTTCAGTTCACAAACTTCAGTTCACAAACCCCGACCAGGCCAAAATTCGTGATGGACTTTGGTTTGTCAGCTGGTTCGTTCCCATCCTTAGATATATATAGATATATAGATGACAGTTCATAAATAAGAAGGAACTGTGAAAGAGAAATGTATTACTAATCTAGACATGTATTTTATGTAGAGATTAAAGTTTTGGAAGATAATATGCAACTGGAATTGGATTTGCAGAAAATCAGCATGCCTACAGAGGAAATTAACAAACTTGAAGTGGATGGTTTTAGTAAGTATGCCGCACTTAATCTGCTTCCTTCTCATTTTATATTATGAGTGAAAACAGCTAAGTGAGAAGTACATGCTAGCTACATTAAAGGTTACCCTCAGGTTACTCTAACAGTTACCTCCTGGCCTACTGTAAACCAATGTCATGCATCCCACCAGGTTGAGGCAGTTTTGGGGGAAACCATAGTGGATGGTAGTGCTGTGTTCGTCTTGTGTTTAGAGTTTACAGATTATGTTTTCTGCATATGGCTTCATTTACTGGTGGTAAGATTTTAATGGGGTATGATTTCCAGTCAACTCCCATTTCTACCCAGTTGGAGACTTGAAAACGTTATGAGCTACTTATCAAAATATGGGATTGGGACTCTATAAAAATAAAGTTGTTTACATTTTTAGTGTCTTTCCTCCAGGGACCATACATGATCCTGACTTCATTCATTTTATCCAGCCAACTAGGGGTGTGCATTTGGATAGAAGGTAAAAGTTTCCCTTGCTCGAAAGCTAGTCGAATCCGACTCTAGGGGGCAGTGCTCATCTCCGTTTCCAAGCCAAAGAGCCAGTGCTGACTGAAGATGTTTCCATGGTCATGTGGCCATTGGCCAACATGACTAAATGCTGAGGTGCACGGAATGCTGTTACCTTCCCACCGAAGCGGTACCTATCTATCTACTTGCAGTTTCTTGCTTTCGAGCTGCTAGGTTGGCAGGAGCTGGGACCAGAGATGGGAGCTCACTCCGTTACGCAGCACTAGGGTCTTAAACTGCCAAACTACAAACCTGGTCTGCAGCTCAGTGTCTTAACCTCTAAGCCACTGTGGCCTCATTCATTTTATCCAGCCAACTAGGGTTGTGCATTTGGATATACACAATGTGAAAATAAACCCCAAATTACCTGTTTTGAGTTGGCTTGGGGATATCCAAAATGACCCCAAACGCTTCCAAAATTCTTGGAGTAACAAAAATTCCCTGGAGTTTTGGGAGTGTTTTGGTTTTGGGGAAGCACAGAAGGGGGGAGAGAGAGAGAGGAAAATGGCCTGCATAACAGTTGTTAGTCTCTCTGTCCCTTCAAAATTTAAAGGACTAGACAACCCCCCCCCCCATAGCTGATGCTGCCTAAACAGCTGATAGTGGGGTAGGCGGAAAGCTATGTCTACTGCCATTGGAAATAGTAGGGGTGTTATTTCTTGTAGGCCCTGAGAAGCCAGGTTTACCCATAGAAAAGAATGCCCTTAAGCACTAAGGGGCCAGGTCTACCCAGAGGTATGGGTAAATAAATGTTTTGTTTATATACTGTGACTAGTATTTAAAAATGACAAGAATTACTTATAATTGAGAGCCAGTTTGGTGTAGTGGTTAAGTTCGCGGACTCTAATCTGGGAGAACCGGGTTTGATTCCCCACTCCTCCACTTGCACCTGCTGATGTGACCTTGGGTCAGTTGCAAGCTCTGGCACCGCTGTCCTTGAAAAAGAGCAGTTTGTGTCAGAGTTCTCTCAGCCCCACCCACCTCACAGGGTGTCTGTTGTGGGGAGGGGAAGGGAAAGGAGTTTGTAAGCCGCTCTGAGACTCCAAATGAAGGGCGGGATATAAATCCAATCTCTTCTTCTTCTTCTTATATACTGTGACTAGTATTTAAAAATGACAAGAATTACTTATATCACAGTGAGTTCCCTAAATTATAGCACCTGTGATTTTCACCTCTGAATCCTGCTGCTAATTAACATTTATCTTGCAGATAATTAGTATTTGTTTTACAGGAGCCAGTTATACGTAACTGTAATTGTTAGCATCAATTATTTATTTTGTAATATGTCCTTTTTTATTAGCCATTTGGTACAAGATGATTCTACCTCCAGGGTTTGATAAATCCAAGAAGTATCCTCTTCTCATACAGGTGTATGTAAAATTTTCTTTAGACTTTTTCATAACTTTGCTATGTCAGATAAGGTATTTATAATGACATCTTTGCCAAATATAGCAACGGCTAAATAGTTGATTAGTAAAACAGATGTAAGTTTCAAGTTAAATGTTATGTGGGAGATATGTGATTGGATCTCTCAGTGATCAGAGGGGACAGTGATTATATTGGGACCATCATGCCAGGGAATGGGCTTTTAAGTTTTTCTGCCTACATAATTTCCCCAGTAGAAACTGGGCCCCTTAAATGTCCAGTAGGGGAAAAGATAGCTAAGTATGGGTACCTTTCTCCCTACAACAGGTAATAGCTACTTTAGAAGGGGGGAGGGAGGACACTTCTATGCAGGGCTATAGCCAGGATTTTGTAACTCAGGGGGCCTTTAAATAAATCGGGGGGCACTGATGTCACAAAATAAAAAAATAAAATTAAAATAACATTTTAAATACTCACTTTTGCAGCACTCTCAGTCTGCTTTCCTATGCAGGGAAGCAAGCTGTGCTTGGGGAAGGGGCAGCAGTGGGGAGTCTTCCAGGTGGTCCAGAGAGTTGGGGGGCCCTGGGGCTCAGTGGAAGTCAGGGGGCCTTGGCAGGAAGTCAGGGGGCCAGGCCCCGAAATTCCCCACTGTAGCTACAGGCCTGCTTCTATCCGGGATGCTGTGGCAAAAAAAACAACACTCTTCTATGGCGTTTTCAACCCCAATCCAAATATTTCCCAGTCTCTGTGGCTCCTGTTTATGTAAACATTGAAAGGTCCAGTCTCAGATCTTCGATAGCATGTGCAATTTGACCTTTACAAAGAGAGGAAACAAAAGATGCAAAGAAAGAAATGGGTGGTGGAGTTTGAAAATGGCTAAATAACTTCAGTAGGAAATGCTACACTGGTTTATACCATGTAAATCACATTGTAACATGAGTTCTTGATAGTTATAGGAATAATTGATCTTGGAACAGCTTTACCTTTTCTGATTTTGCTTATACTACTCTTCACATTCACAGTTTGGGAGGTTTGTGGGATTGACTTTGTTTTCATATGCTTGGTGGTACATGTGGTCAGAAGGACCTTACAACTAAAGAAGACCACAGATTTATCTCATAAGAGCAAACTGAAGGGAACATCCCCCCAAAGCGCTTAAAACACTTTTCAGCAGAAAAGATCCTTAGGAGCCCAATGCATTTTCATCCTCTCTCAGTGCACTTCTTCAGGAAATTCTAGAAAAGTCACATAGAAAACGTCCCCCCCCCCAATTTTCTAGTCTTGCTCATACAAATTTGGAAAACATATTAATTTATGACTCATAAAGAGATGTCCGTGTGTGTGTGTGAGAGAGAGAGAGATTCCATGAATACACACACACACATACCTTTGAGACCAACAAAGCTTTATTCAAGGTATGAACTTTTGTGTGTACGCACACTTCTTCGGATACAAATTTGTATCTGAAGAAGTGTGCATGCACACAAAAGCTCATACCTTGAATAAACTTTGTTGAGTGGTACATGTGGACAGAAGGACCTTACAACTACAACAACTTTGTATCTGAAGAAGTGTGCATGCCCACAAAAGCTCATACCTTGAATAAACTTTGTTGAGTGGTACATGTGGACAGAAGGACCTTACAACTACAACAACTTTGTATCTGAAGAAGTGTGCATGCCCACAAAAGCTCATACCTTGAATAAACTTTGTTGGACTTAAAGGTGCCATTGGACTCTAAATTTGTTGTACTGCTTCAGACCAACACAGACCCCTGGATCTATACGTTCCTGAGTTCAGGTTCTGCTTTCTCCTTTGCAAAGGCTAAATGCTTAGACTGTTTACAGTTTTCTCCTAAGCATTTACATCAACAGAGTGCCAAACTATAAACACGGAAGACATTCATGTATTAAAAACAATCCCTCTTTGCATTTCCTGTCAACCAAATATGGGTTGTGCAAACCAAACCATTGTGCAAAGAAATGGCAGAAGTCAAAATATCTTACCATTAGGCTGTTATGACTCTGGAGTACCTACAGAAATGAAACTTTCGTTTCACCCATGCTGTATTAAATGTTTCTGCTACCCTTTGATTTTGAAAGGTCGGCCCCTGGTACCTGAATCTGAGATTCCATGAATATTTACTGTAGGTATGGAGGACCTTGCAGTCAAAATGTGAAACACACTTTTGGCATCACTTGGATAACCTACCTGGCCAGCAAAGAAGGGATCGTGGTGGCCCTTGTGGATGGCCGAGGAACAGCCTTCCAGGGTGATAAGATGTTGTATGCAGTCTATCGCAGACTTGGGGTTTATGAAGTTGCAGATCAAATCTCAGCAGTAAGGTAAGGCTACATTTCTCTAACACAGTTAGAAAATTCACAAAGCAAACAATGAGGTTTCATTATATTAACTAGCATCTGAGGATGGGCTTTCCAGGTGCTTCAGATCCTTTGTTTTCGGAGGCAGTAATGTGTGCGTTTGTTTTCAGAGCAATAATTCATTATCACAGAACCAAGGGCACTCTTATTGCATGGCAAAAATACCCATCTTGGCAAAATGACCTGCCTACTGGTAGTGGTCTTCTAAAGCGGTTGTGGGAAGATTTCTTTGTTAAAGAATACCAAGTATGCAAGCAGATGGGAAAATAAAGTACAGTGATAAAAGGGGCATATTATTTTGTTGTCAGTCCTAAAAAGCCCTGACTTGGATACCCCAGGCTAGCCCATTCTTGTCAGATTTGAAAGCTAAGCAGGGTTGGCCCTGGTTAGTATTTGAATGGGAGACCACCAAGAAACTCCAGGGTCCTGATGCAGAGGCAGGCAATACCAAACCTCCTCTGAACATCTCTTGCCTTAAAAACCCTGTGGGGTTGCCATAAGTCAGCTGTGACTGGATGGAAAAAATAAAAATCTTAAAAGGGCAGCCATGGCAGTCTGTTGCAGAACAACCAATGGAGCCTTCAAGCATCATAAGACTACCAAGTCTATCGTGTTGTGTTCTGTAGACAGGAGGAGGCAGAGGTCCATCAGTGGCTATTAGCCACAAGGTATAGCTAGGGGCTCTGGGGCAAGTGATGCTCTGTCTTCTTGGAGCTTGGGGGGGGTCAACAGTGGGAGGGCTTCTAATGTCCTGGCCCCACTGGTGGACCTCCTGATGGCACTGGTATTTCTGGCCACTGTGTGATACAGAGTGTTGGACTGGATGGGCCTTTGGCCTGATCCAACATTGGCATCTCTTATGTTCTTATGTTCTTATGATTAAATAGGCTTGCCTGTAAAAGCTCGTGCCACATTTTTTTCATTTATGTCTGTTGCCAGCCTTTCCAGCAGTGAACAAGCTCTTCTTGGTTCCTACATTTGCTGGTATCAACCACGGTCTTTGGTTTCAGAGACCTTGTACCTTTCAGAACCTCCGTGGTTGTTAGCAAATAGTTCCAGTGGACATTCAGAAGTGTGCATGAAACGGATTGGTGCCTGGACAATGATTTAAAATGTGTGAAATGCATCAAGGCTTGACAAGTAATGTAGATTCTGAGTGCGGCAATCCAAGAATAGAGCCCATAAAGATTTATCCTCACACCCTTTGCTCTAGGATAGCACTACATCTCTACGGGTTCTCTATTATCTCGTCCATCCTGCCCCTGTGTATTGACTCTTCCATTTCCTCCATGTGCAAGGGTGATGTTGCTTTTAACGGCTTTTTTTAATGCAACAATTGAAACAGATCAGAGATTTTGTCATTCTGACCTTCATGCTGCTATCCCCGCTTGCTTTACAGTAACCATAAAAGCCGTAAATTAGTTTGTATTGCTCTAAAAGTGTTCTGAGATAACGGAAAACTTGGCTAGGTGTTCATCCATCTGGTACAGAGCAATATCAAGCTACTCTTATTTCGGCAGTCTGCTGAGAAAGTCTATATGGGGAACAGCTGGGGGATGCAAAAAGATTATTGTAACACTGTTGTCCTCCAAATTCCGCTCCATCCCCCCCAACCGAAGTGGGTGAGGGTTTGCAGGTAGCCCCACAAATGGGGAGGG